GGATGCATCGACGCCGCTGGCTGGCCCGTGACGTCGGCGCAGGTTCTTGGCTACTTCCGCCAGCTGCTCTGGGCCTTTGCGGCCGGGCGCGGCGCCGCCGCCAGCGCGGGCTCCGCGGAGCTGCCGGACTGGGCCCTCAAAGGAATGCTGTGGAGCGCGGCGCGAGACAGCGCGTCGGCGGACGCGCCAGAGGAGCAGGCATGCCCCGCCGGCTCTCTGGCGGATGGCGTCTGCTGGGCGCTGGGCGCGCCGGGCGACAGCTGCCCCGAGGCGTGCGGGCACTTGGGCCTCGCGTGCGTGGAGCCGGACGAGTGGCCCGAGACACCGCTGGTGCCACGTCTGCTGACCCTCATGGGCATCCGCGAGCCGGTCTCCCTCGCGGTGCAGTCGCCTTGGGGCCCGTTCGAGTGCTACGTGGGCGGGCAGGCCCGCTTCCACCTGGCGAACCCTGCGGCACCGCGCCAGGAGGGTGGCTGGCGCTACCCCTTGTGCTCGCTGGCATGCCCCTGCGGAGTGGCGCTTCCGCACCCGCTGAGGGAGGCCCTGCACGCGGTCCCTCCTGTGCCCGCGGACGTGCTGACCGCCGCGTCCGCGGAAAAGCAAGAGCTGTAAGAAGTTGCTGTGACAAGCGGCTACGAGGGAGAGCGGCTGTCAGAAGCAGTTGCCGTGGGAGTGGAGTTGAGCGGTGCCGCGCGATGTTTCGTGTCGGGATTGGGCATTCGCTGCTTCCGGGAAGGTTGAAGAGGACGCAGCTTGACCGCCGGGTGATTGCCCCTGGCGGCCCTCCCAATCAGCACTCCACTCCCGTCCTGGTTGGAGCACTCCACTCCCGCTATATATATATATATACATATATATATATATATTCTTTGAATACATCTGTATATATATATATATATATATATATAGATATACACATATAACGCCGCACCGGGCCCGGGGGCCCCGGGGCTGCAGCCTCGACCACAAATGGGGGGACGTCGGGCCCAGCCCTCTCCCCGCCGGGCCCCAGGTCGGCCCCCGGAGCGCCCAGACGGCCGTCCAGGCAGCCCCAGGCCGCCCAGCGCCAAAGACAACCTCCAGCGGTCTCTGGCGGCTCCAGAGGCGTCTCGAACCGCCCCAGACGCCTCCAACAAGCTCGAAGACCCCTCGAAGAGATCCCCCCAGACGGCCCCGGGAAGCAAAAATACCCCCATTCCTTTCGTAAAACGTACGTTTTTACTATAATCGATTCTTTGGCCTTCGACCCGTCCTCTACGACCTCCGACTCTCCCTAGACCGCCCCAAGACGGCCCACGAAGCCCACAATAGAGTCCCAAGACGGCCCCAGAGGGGCCCAGGACAGTCCAAGAGGCGCCCAGGACGGCCCAAACGCGTCCCCGAAGGGCCCGAAGAGGGGCCCAAGACGGGAAACCCAGCTGAACCTTCCAGCCCCCCCGCTCCAGGAGGCCCCCAAGAGGCCCCTAAGAGACCCCCAAGAGACCCGAAGAGGCCCCCAAGACGCCCGCGGCAGGCCCCAAAGGGCCTCCAGAGGCCCCCCAAGAGGCTTCCAAGAGGCCCCCCGAGGTACCCAGGAAGCCCCCAGGAGACCCCCAGAAACCTTCATGTACGTCTACATGCGGCCTCCGGCCCAAAAACCTGAGACCGTTCCTGGGTCGCCGCCTGATCGCCACAGGTTTTCTTCGTCTCTGTCAATGGATGGAGCGGCAGCGATCTCTCTGGGGCCGACTTTTCAGCACCCTGTGGGGCCAGATCCGTTTGAGGTGTGCGCCGTTTTATGCTGGAGGACGCTATGCGAATCCTCCCTGACCGAGCCGTCTGAAGACCGACACCAGACAGCACGAAGATTCCGTGCCCCTCGACTGGCCCGCGCTAGAACCTAAGCGCGCGCGAAGCGCGCGTGGTTCTAGTATTATATATAAATATACATGCATACGTATATGTTGTGTGTGTGTGTGTGTGTCGCACCTCGCACAGTAAGGAACAACTCTGAACGCTTCGTGTGCCTCCGCGAGCCCAGCCGGTGACCAGTGTCGCGCCCCGTTTCGAGCTGGCCACCCGGGTTCTGAGCCGCCCTGCGGCGACACATCGGAGTCTTCTTCTTCCTCCTTTCCTCGTCCTCCTTGGTCAACAGGCCCCTGTGACTCGTTGGGAAGCCTCTCGCTACGAGGAGGCAGATGGACATGCTTACACGCCGGCGATGAGGCACGATATCGCCTGGATATTACCTCGAAGCAATGGCGTTGGGATGACTGCTGACCGCAGACATGGCCCTGCAGCTGGCAGCCTCGTCGCACCAGGAGGGCCCAAAAGAGAGGCCGAGAGGCTGCGGGAGACCTGCCCACGCAGACGACAGTCGTGCGCTGATCCCCCTCGGTGCAACAAATGGGCCCCAGCACATCGACGGGGCGGCCGTTGTTCCGTTTTCGATGTTTTCTGGGGGCTTAGCCCCCGCGGCTGCACAGCACGGGCATTCTACACGTTACCCTCGTGGCACAGCTCCCGAATTCCGCAGCCCGTGGAGGCGGGCTGCCTCGCCTTCAGCCATTGCGAGGATCGCTGAGCGAAGCGAAGCGGGATGCCCCTCGCGCCTGGGATGAAGTCCTTTAGCCATGAGAGCGATGTTTTCTTCACAGTGCACTTTTCTTTTTCGGCGGATGGCACCGCTGGGCAATGCATCGAGGTCGACCGCTGCGAGCTGCGATAACAGTACACGCACGGCAGACTGAGGAAAAGTGCATCGGCAGTGCTGAACCTGGACTGGGGTGCAGCGCCGCTCCGCGCAACAATTGAGGCCCGGTCCAGGCGTCACCACAACAGGCGCCATTCCTGCGAGTGGCACCAGATACGGGAGACAGAAAAAACCGAAAAAACCCAAGACAGAAAAAACAGAAAAAAGACTCAAGACATAAAAGAGAGAAACACACAAGACAGAAAAAACCAGAGAAAACCACGAACAACTTGTTTTTTTTCTGTGCACCTGCTGACGTTGGGGCGCCGATGCCGCGGGATGCGGCCAGCGCGTCCTCGGCCCCTCCTCGCGGCGGAGCTGCGCCTCGGCGCGCAAGCGGCGCCCGGCAGCGGTGCCGATGTTGAGGCCCGCCGCCTCGGAGAGCGCCTGTACCTGCGCGCCTCGCCGCCGCAGCCGAGCCGAGCCACGGTGGGCCAGCACCGTGGGCGAGACCGACCGAGCCCGTGTTGATCGCACCGTCGGTTTCATCAAGACCAGCTCGGTCGGTCTCGTTCCTCTGGGCCCCCTAGACCGCAGGTCCCTTTTCTCCTCCCCCTTCCTCATCCCCCTCGCGAGGGCATTGTCATTCGCGGCACCTCCGAACCAACAGGCGCGAGGGTGTCTCAGGCGAAATTGGCCGGACCGCCTCGGCCGTTGGCATCTCTGAGCCCAGCGTTGCGAGGATGTCTCGGGCGAAATCGACCAGACCGCCCTGCGTGTTGGCATCTCTGAGCCCAGAGCTGCAAGGATGTCTCAGGCGAAGCCGACCATCCAACCTCCAAAATTTGAGGATGTCTCTGCCTGCGGGCCCCTCCTTCAGAAATAGCCCTCATGTCGCAACATCCCCCGCAGTCAGCACAGCTGTTCGGGGAATTCATGCGCTGTGTTGCTCGATGCTCTCGTAGGGTCTCCCGTCTCATGACGGGGTCGTGTCGGGATCATCTTTTGGGGTCGTTTGGGGGATCCTCCTCTTGCATCTCCCTCCTGCTCCCCCTGCCTTGCTCCTTATCCCCATCCTCCCCCCCGTCCCTCGGACTGTTGTCGCTCTGCGGCCCGAGGGCGCGCGTTCCCCGCCTCCCTCCTCCCTGCCCTCCCTCCGTACCCGACCCACCTTCGCCCCTCGGGGGGGCAGCGGGATCAGGGAGGCGAGGGGTGGGGAGTGGCGAGGGGCCGCGGGGTCGAGGAGGCAGGGTTTGTTGATGTGAGCGGCCATTGTCATGCCACCTCAGGTCAGGAAATCGTGGAGCCCAGCTTTGCGAGGACGCTTGAGGTGAAGCTGGCCAAACCACCTCAGGCCAGGGCGCATCTGAGCTCAGAGTTGCGAAGATGTCTCAGGCGACATTGGCCGGATTAGCTTAACTCAGGCAGGGTTTATCAGAGCTCAGAATTGCGAGTATGCCTCAGGCGAAACGGGCCAGACCACCTCAGGTCAGTGCATCTCCGAGCTCAGAGTCGCTAGGATGTCCCAGGCGAAACTGGCTAGACGACCTCATGCCAGGGGAATATCCGAGCCCACAATTGGGAGGATGTCTCAAGCGAAACTTGCCCGACCACCTCAGATCAGGGCATCTTTGAACCCATAGACGCGAGGATGTCTCAGGCGAACCTGGCAAGACAAGGGCATCTGTGAGACCAGAGCTGCGAGGATGGCTCAGGCGAAATTGGCCGTACTACCTCAGATCAGGGCATCTGTGAGCCCAGGATTGTGATGATATCTCAGGTGGAACATGCTATACCACCTCACGTCAGTGCGTACTCGAGCGCATTGTTGCGAGGATGTCTCGGGCAAAGCTGACTGGATGAGCTCAGAGTTGCGAAGATGTCTCAGGCCACAATGGCTCTACCATCTCTCGCGCGGCATCTTCGAACCCACATATTGGCTCACATTTTCGTACGCACCTTCACCACCTGAGGGTACGATCCAACCTGTATCACATAGACCATCATGCCAATATTCCTGATAGTTGGCGTCATATTATGTGCGTAATGTCCCGATGTCTTGCCGGCTTTGGTTGCCTTCCTGTGCCGTCTTGCAAGCCGCGGAGTGCCTTGGAGATCCCCGAAGAGGCGTCGGACCGTCCAGGACGCCTCGGGAAGGACGGGCGATGCATGCAGGCGGACGTGGCGAGAGGGGGTCCCTTGGACAGAAGACATACAGACAGAACTTGACGTTCTACCACGCCTTAACGTGCCATGGGGGCACTGGCTGATGAAAGTGTCACGTCGTTGACCTTCTGCACGCGTGGTGATCTCCCTCCTTCCCGTTCGCAGCCATTTTTTGGCTCGAGTGATCGTTTCACGCTCTTGTCTGGCATACACGTTCCACCTGCCTACCAGGGATCTAGATATACACCACGCGCCCGGCCTGGCCGAGGGCTGCATACACACGTGGCCGCATGCCTTCCAGCGCTCGGGCCTTATATGGCCGCGTAGACCTGGAATTCGCACGTGTATCCAGCGCGCGCGCGGCCTCCAGATGCTCCACATGTGAATCCAGCCGGGTGTGTTTCCAGTTTCCTGGTGCACAAGGCTGCCATGGGAAAGGCGCAGAGGCGTCTGACAGCGAAGGCGGCCACAGCGGCGGGACATTACCTCGCCGCGGACAGGACGACGCCAGAGCTGAAGTACCGCTTCGAGACAGGGCTCGCGGCGACAGAGCCAGTTCGTGACGCCATGTCCAAGGCCACGTCCACGTCGACCACGCCCTGCGGCTCCACCCCGAGGGAGTACAACGACAGCGCGAGCGACAGCGACGCTCACCCGCCAATGCCAGGCCTCCTTGACGTGGTCGTGCACTTTGCTCCCGCCCGCGGCTGCCACCGTGGTGCGCCGGGCGTGCACGGTGGCGCTGCGCTCGCGAGCGCCTCCCCTCTGCGAGGGCCCCCCCCGGGCCCGGCGGCAGCCGCTGCCCGCTGTGCGCCGCCTGGCACGTGGCACACCGGGGCCCGTCCGAGCCCAGAGCCCCTGGCGGCACCGCCGCCCGCCCGCCGCGAGTCCTCGGGGCTGCCGCCCAGCGCCCAGGGGCACGACGCCGCGCGCGACAGCTGCTGGGCGGCGGCGCGCGCGCCGCGGGCCCCGCCGGGCTCGTGGGAGGGCAAGGCCGGGCGGGCCTCTGCCCCGCTGGGCCTCGAGGGCCCGGGGGCGCTCCCCGGCTCGTGGCGGTGCGGGCCCTCGCAGAGCCCCGCCATCGCCGCCATCGGGCCCCCGCCCGGCCTCGAGGCCCGTGGCCCGGTGCCCCGCTGCTCCGAGGTGGGCGCCGCCGGCGCCGGCCTCCCCGCAGTGCCGCCCGGCTCATGGGCAGTGCGCCCAGCCAGGCCAGGGTGCCAGCCGCCCGCCAGCGAGCCCCCGCCTGGCCTCGCTGGGGCGCCGCGTCACGCGGTCTGCATCTGGCAGCTCTGAGATGCCGTGACCGACTAGGCGTAAGAGTGACCTTTCGCCAGAGTGACCTTTGGTGCGGGCCCAGTGGGGTCCCCCGATCGCCTGGTGTGATGCGATAGTTGCGTCTTGCGCGCTTGGGTTTGGCCCGCGCCTGCAGATCCCCGGAAGCCGCGCACCACAGGTCTCTCTTGCCTAGGGTCACTCTTGCGTGTAACTAGACGATATGAGACCGCCTTGCGGGAGGGAGCCTTACTCGGTGGTGCTCAGGACGCGTGTTGTTTGGCTCTGTGCGTGTCTACCCCGTGCAGCTCCACCGACGATGCGTAGCCTGTTTCGGCTCCCATTACATTGCCTGCGTCGCATTGAAGGACCTCGATAGACAAACACACGTTGACACTGACAACAGATGTTCGGAGGATGATTGACACACCGAGGGCTGGTATTCTGATGAGCTGGAGCAGTTCTATGAGGACGCTCAGGACGCCATCCAACGCAGAGAGGAAGTACTCAGACTGAGAAGTGTGAGGGGATGTGCTAATGTCGATGCTGTACCCAGATAAGTGCAGCCTCAGACAGGAAACACTCCTCTCTTGTTTTAAGCTTCCGCACAGTCCTTTGCGACGTCAGTGTTGCACCGTGGTCTGGGCGCGCTTCTTTTTTCACGGCCAATGCTCTAGCATGGGCTTTGTCGCTCTCCCTCTCCCTCTCTCTCTCTCTTTCGCTATCTCTGTCTGTCTGTCTGTCCGTCTGTCTGTCCGTCCGTCTGTCCGTCTGTCTGTGTGTCTGTCTGTCTGTCTGTCTGTGTGTCTGTCAGTCAGTCAGTCAGTCAGTCAGTCAGTCAGTCTGTCTGTCTGTCTGTCTGTCTGTCTGTCTGTTTGTCGACGACGTGTACATGGTACCTGGACGACGACGCGTGGTACGGACGGCCGACGACGTGTACATGGTACCTGCACGGTGGCAGCCGCGAGGAGAGGTCAGAAGTGAGCGCGGCTTCTGGCAGGGAGACCCCCTGGTAAACGCCGGGTTCGCGGTGGCCATTATCGAGCCGACCCGTGCCCTCAAGGCCGAAGCCATGGGTGTGGACCCGAAGCTCAGTGTTTACTAAGAAGCTGACGACCTCCAGTTGGTCATCTCCTGCGCTGCGCTCCCGGAGATCTTGCCTATGGTGCGGCGGTTGTGGGCGCCCATTGGTCTCTCCTTCAATGGCGCAAAACAGCAGACCTTCAGCCCCGATCCTTCCCGATTGCCAGACCAATTCCAGCAACGCTTTGTGGTTTACTTGCGCTGCCGTGGTCCCGGGCTTTCGGCAGACGACCCAACCACACCTGCCGCGGTCACCATTGTCAGAGGCCAGCAACATATGTACACGTACGCGATTAGCTTCCTCTGGAGTGCGTGTCAACGCGGACGTTCGTGCAGGCAAGACCGCGGAGGGCGTACATGTACATATGTCGTTGCTCGCCCACATTGGTGGCCTCCCCTTCCAGTACGAGGACCTCGAGTCGGCCAAGCAGAAAGTGGCCCATGTGCACGGCCGCCCGCAGACGCTGCGCGAGCACGTCGCTCCAGACCGCCCAGAGCCTCTTTCGCAAGATGGCCTGTTCGCAGACATAACACATCATAAGTGCGAATTTTGTGTCTCTGGCCGCAACGGGCCCGTGGGACGATTCTCCGCGGGGTCATCGGGACAGCCTCATCGGCGTGACGCACACCGAGCAGGCCTGGCGGCAGGGAGCCTTCCCCCAGCAGGATGGCGGCAGCGGCTTCGGGATCACTGGCAAAGTGGCCGATCCGACATATCTTGCGGCCCAAAGCCGGGTCCATCCTTTCGCGGTCCGGCGCTGTGGCCTCGATGGTGTCGACCAGCAACTAGCATTCGACAGCGCCTGCGCACAGGACATTGCAAGCGCGGTGCAGTGCGTGCGGGACGTGGTGGGGCCAACGGTTTCCATCCCTTGGGCTCATTGCGTCTTTCCGGCAGTTCCTTTCCGCCAGAGGCGCCTTGCGCAATTTGTGCAGTGCGAGTTTGTCAATTTCAGGGCCCCGCTCTCCCTACGGACAGCCTTCTTGTCAGTCGGCGGCCCTGGCGCGGGAGGTTTCTTCTGGCCGCCAAGCATCGGTGGCGGCCAAGAGGGGGATGATGACTATGGGGGGGTGGATATCGTGGCGGGGGCCATGACGTTTCTCCAGATTTCATGGCGCCTCTTCTTGGTTCAATGCGCCCCTGGCCCCCCCCCTAGGCCGCGCACATGCCGGTGGCCATGATTCGGCCCCCCCTCTTGGACGCCCCGATCTTGGACGCTTCCGACAGGCCAGCCACAACTGGGGGAGTTGTGGTCCTCACCCCCCTGGGGGACCCATCGATTTCGACACCCCTCTCGGGAGATCGTCGATGCGATGGGTTCCCCCAGGGGGGTAAGGACCACAGCTCCCCCAGTTATGGCTGGTCGGCTGGACATCGCCATGGACGACGTCTCGTTCCGCATCCCGCGGGGGCCTCCAGCCTCACCCGGGCGGACCAGCAGGGGCTACAGTGCGGGCCTCTCGGGGCAGTGCGCACTCCAGGTCGACGTCGCGGGCACCACGGCCAGGTCTGCCCAGGGGGTGGCTCCTCCTCCTCCTCCTCCTCCTCCTCCTCCTCCTCCTCTTCGTCATCGAGCGCCACGACCGAGTGCTGCGCTGGCTGGCCGCGTGGCTGAACCAGGGATGGACTCAGAGCACGGCGCTCTGTGAGCCAATGTGTCCCTACGAGGCGGGCAGGCCTGACATCGCTTTCCACCGCGATGCCAAGCTGTGGTGGGTGGATGTCGAAGTGACGTCGGCCGTCAGCACCGTCGGGTGCGTCAACTGCATCCGAGCCCAGCAGGCTGGCTCTGCAGCGCGGGAAGGGGAGCATATGAAGCAGGTCCGCCACAACAGCAGGGCCAGTCCCTTCGTGTTGGAGGCGAACGGGCGGCCAGGCCAGAGCGCTCAGGCCTTCATCCGCCGTTTCGCGGTGGACGCCGCCTCGGGGTTCAGCAGGTCCGCGGCGGCCGCGTGGAACGACTTGTATTCTGTCCTTCAGGCTGGTAGTTCGCAGCTGGAGTTGTCGGCGTGTGGGGCGGTCGCGCTGGAGCAGCAACGCTGTGATGTGTTCCTGCCCTGAGCTCTCGTGAACCTTCCATCACTTGTTATGGGCGTCACCTTTCCTGCGTGCGTCGTAGGGGCGGTGAGACGGCTCGTGTCCTCAACACTCTCCTAGGCTATGTTGTTCATTGTGATTGCCGCGTTGTTCTGGGAAAGCGTTCGGTCGTGGGCATTACCTGTGACAATTAGTGCCCAGCTGTTTATCGAGCGATGCCCACATCGGAACGAGTTCCAGCAGAGGTCTGTTCGATTGCCCTGTCTACTGCTGTGTGACCTCTGCTGCAATCTCTGCCTCTTGGTCCTGTCGTTCTTCGTTCTTTTTGCCTCCCCTCCCTCCTCTATCTCCCTCTCTCCCCTGGCGTGCCTGGCGCGTGCGTTCGCCCACGACTGGCACGCGCAGCCTCTGAAGCCCCCGCGATGCACCGGTGCAATCCGGCCTGGGTCCCAGGCACAGCTGGGCCGATTCGTTGCTTGCGGTGGCTTGGACCCCGCGCGGCGCTCCGTGCCATGGCCTCATTCCCCAGGCACGGCTGGGGCGCGCCCGTGAGGCATGGCTTGTCGGCGGATAGGCAACGTGGGACCTATTACTGTCCGTCCGTCTGTCTGTCTGTCTGTCTGTCCGTCCGTCCGTCCGTCCGTCCGTGCGTCCGTCCGTCCGTCCTTCCGTCCGTTTGTCTGTCTGTCTGTCTGTCTGTCTGTCTGTCTGTCTGTCTGTCTGTCTGTCTGTCTGTCTGTCTGTCTCCCTCTCTCTCTCTCTCTCTCTCTCCGAAGTATATCGAAGACGCCTACGGGGAATCACCGCCGCCCCCTCTCTTTAAGTGTGCGCCTCTGTGGCCGAACGTTGGGGAAAAGTCTGGCCACGCAGTTGGACCATGTGTCCCCCGACCGTTGTGGAAGCCCTTCGGGGAACGCGTGGGGGAGGAAACAGAGGACAAGGAGAGGGAGGAGAAAGGAGGATGAGGAGAAGGATGAGGCGATTTCTTGGGAACTTCGTTGGGAGCCTCTCGGAGGCCTCCTGGGGGCCTCCTTGGGCCTCTTGGGGGGCTTTGGGGGCTTCTCGGGGGCCTCTTTTGCCGCCTTCGAGCGTTCCTGGCTTGTCTGACGTCGTCGGATGCCGTCTTGGGAGCATCTCTGGGCCGTCTGGGGCGCTCTTGGGCCGTCTTGACGTTCCTCGTTGACGTCTTCGAGGCCTCTTGGGCCGTCTTGGGGTCCTTCAGGGGCCGTCTTGGGAGCCTCTTGGGCCGTCGCCTCTCGGGTCGCCTTGGGGGCCTCTTGGGAGCCTCTCGGGTCATCTTGGGCCATTTTGCAGCCATCTTAGGCGGTCGTGGGTGCATCTGGGGCCGTCTTGGAACATTTTTGGGCCATCTCGGGCCCTCTTGGGGCCATCCTAGCCGTCATGGATTTATCTTGGAGGCATCTTGGAGGCCATCTTTAGCCATTGGGGCCGTCTTGGGGGCGATTCGACCCACGAGAGACGAATTTTCGGTGGTTTTCCAGGTGGCCGGCGGCATCGGCCGAAGCCCCAGGGGGATTTTGCAAAAGAGCCAACAACAACCTGAAATTCAGCACGCTGGGCACCCCTGTGGCAAGACCCTGGGAGGCGGCGGATCGAAGACGCCTACGGCGAATCATCGCCGTTCCCTGCCTTTTTCGAAACGCCTATGTGGCAGAAAGTTGGGCTACAGCTATCGGACCATGTGTTTCCCCGGCTGTCCTTGAAACCTTTCGGGGAGCACTTGAGGAAAAGGAGAATGAAGAGAAGAAGGAACAGGGAGGAGGAGGAGGAGGAGGAGGAGGAGGAGGAGGAGGAGGAGGAGGAGGAGGAGGAGGAGGAGGAAGACGCCTCTTGGAAGCCTCTTGAGGCACTCTTTTGTCTCCTGGGAGCTTCCTGGGGGCTTCTGGGAGGCCTCTTGGGGGTCTCCTTGGGCCTCTTGGGAGCCTTTGGGGGCTTATTCGGGGCCGCTTTGGCCGTCTTAGGGCGTTCCTGGCCCGTCTGACGCCGTCGGATGCCGTCTTGGATGCCTCTCTGAACCGACTTGGGGCCCTCTTGGGGCACTTCAGGGCCGTCTTAGAGGCCATCTTGGGCGTCTTGGAGGCTTCTTGGGCCGACTTGAGGCCCTCTCTGGGCCGTCTTGGAGGCTTCTTGGGCTGCCTTTGGGGCCATCTTGGGGCGATCTTGGGGGCCTCTCGGGCCGCCTTGTTCGTCGGAAGGCTGAAAGAAGCAAATGCCAAAATCCTTCAAAAACCTAGGGGAAATCAATCAATGATGTTGGCCTCTTCGGGCCGGACCTCTTGGAGGCCTCTTGGGCCGTCTTGGAGGCCTCTTGGGGCCATTTGGGCCGTCTTGGGTCCTCTTGGAGGCATCTTGGACTCTCTTGGGCCGTCTTGAAAGCCATCTTGGACCATCTTGGGCGAACTTGGCGACCATCTTAGGCCATCTTGGGGCCACCTGTAGCAGGAAAAAACCTTTGTGACTGGGTCTGGAGCAGCTTTCTAGGTGGCCGGCGCGCTGGTCCGAAGCCCCAAGGGGAGTCTTAAAAAGAATCCCAAACCATCAGACGCTGAGCACGCCGGACACACCTGTGATAAATCAACAGGGGGTGGCGGATCGAAGACGCCTACGGCGAATCA